TTCCTCTGGAGTATGACTTGCCTTTATCTGCTCGTTTCTCGGCCGAAGATCTCGATGAGTCAACAGCAATCCAGATGTGGTTTGGATGGGTTCATCGGCGGGCGTAAAGTCAATCAAGTCATCTTGCTCTTCCAGGACACGTGCTGCTTCGGCGCTTTCACGAAAACGTGTCGGTTCTTCCTCCATTTCCAGAAAACCAGCCATTCCAGAGGGTTGCGTCATGCGCACTGCGGATTGTGGTTGTTGCTGTTGTAGTGGTGGACTGCCATCCGACGATCTCGAATCGTCCAACAGCGAATTCAGTGGTCTGTTCTTTCGGGTGGGATTTCTACCGCTGGCCGATGAAGCTGCTGCGGCTTGAGCCATCATAGGGTCAAATGGACTAAAGCTGTTTGCGCGGAGCCCTGTGGGAGAGGTCGACGAAGAGCCAGCGCTGCTGTTCGAGGATGATCTCATCAAGACCAGAGGTCGATGATGCTTGCTCGCAAACGGGTTGATGTCGGCAACTTCATGATCCGCAAGAGATTCGTATTCCTCATTGAAGCCTGAACGCTCCTCTCCGCCTTGTTTGGTGGGTGCCGGGGACTCTTCTTTCATCATGGTGGCGGCCAAACTCTACTACAGACAGCTTCTTAGTAACAACATGGGATGCAAAGAAGAGGATGCAATGGAGCCCTGGCGCAGCCCGAGTGACATTCAACGGAAAACGGAAGGAGCTGCCGAATCTGTCTAAATCCCGAGCCAATGAACTAACGATTGGCGCGAGCAGCTGATTTGGCGGTGCGGTACGGATAATCCTAAACCCTACCGTAGTTGCGTTTGGGGGCTGATGACGCGACGCGAAGGTTCGCAAAGAGCCTGACAGATTGCCTTTCAAACACGTCAGCGATGCCAAAGATCGCCTGAAGTTTCGGTTGGCGAAAGTCAAGCAAGCTCAAGACAACCTTCCGGGCTTCCGGGTTAGGTTGTCAATCATGCACAGAAGTCTTTTTAGAAGAAGCAAAACAAAACAAAAAAACAAAAAATAATGGGTACCATGACGACGACAAAGACTATCTTAGTGACGGGCGGTTGCGGTTTCATCGGCAGCCACACTATTGTCTTGCTTTTGGAACAAGGATACAATGTTGTAGTGGTGGATAATCTATCCAATTCAAAGAAGGTTTCCTTGGATCGGGTGCAAAAAATTGTGGGATTGGACGATGAACAGAGGAAGATTCGCTTGACCTTCCATGAGGTGGATCTATGCGATGAACCAGCTCTTCGCAGAGTCTTTGAAACCGGCCCAACATTTGATGCCTGCATTCATTTTGCGGGGCTGAAAGTAAGTGAAAGGAATCATCGTCAGGATAAAAGAATCATCCGGGCACCAGCGACCAAAGTGTGTCTTTATTTATTGATTGTTTGGCCGTATTCAATCTTATTACGAAAATTGGTCGGAACTTATACCTGTTGATTGTTGTTCATAGGTGTGTTCGAACTCATGATCATCTGCACTATTCTCCTGCGCATGAGATATCACGCCATTGGTCGAATACAGTAACGCTGGTCAACTCGAATCCGTACCAGTTGGTGCTGGCATCACCAATGCCTATGGAAGAACCAAATACATGTTGGAGGAAGTCTTGAAAGATTTTTACAATTCCAAGACTTTGGATAAGGACAAGAAAAGTACATGGACAGTGGCTCTCTTGCGATACTTTAATCCCGTCGGAGCCCACCCCTCGGGAGAAATTGGCGAAAATCCCAATGGAATCCCCAACAACCTCATGCCCTACGTTTCCCAGGTTGCCGTTGGTCGACGAGAATTTTTGACCGTCTTTGGTGACGATTACGACACGCCCGATGGAACAGGAGTGCGCGACTACATCCACGTGATGGATCTGGCGCAAGCCCATGTGACGGCAATCGACTACATGACAAAGAAAGACCACGGAGTTTTCACCTTCAACTTGGGAACTGGTACAGGATATTCGGTCGTGGACATGGTGAAGGCAATGAGCAAAGCCTGTGGACATGAAATCAAATACAAGGTTGGACCACGTCGTCCTGGTGACATTGCTACCTGCTATGCCGACCCAACATATGCACGGGAGGATCTAGGCTGGGAAGCAAAGCTAGGACTAGAAGAAATGTGCCGTGACCTCTGGGAGTGGCAATCCAAGAATCCCAATGGATTTGATTGACGGAGGAATGAATGAACGAACGAACGCATGCTGAATTGATAGACCAACTTCAAGGCTTGTTTGTAGCCTTACACCTAACTAAGAACTAGCTAGTTTAAGATTGAGTTTTGGCTGAGCTTTCGCATGACTCGTCACTCGTACCGCTTGGATGGCGCCTTGTTTCTTCGTAGTGTGAATGAATGGGATTGCCATACCGAACCATGGGTCGTGGTTGAAATGTGTGGAACTTTTCCTGACGCGTTCCCCTCTTCCATTATTTAGTGCCGGTATCGTCCGACTTCCCCCGCATTTATCAATTGCAGCAAAAAGTGAGTATCTAAATAATTTACTGGGATTAACAGAGACAAGCCTTCAGGCTGGAGTTCTGTTGCCTCGTGCATACCGTTATCTCGGTGGGATTGATTGCTGGTTGTTAGGCATCATTTTGGTTCCCACCATCTTTGTTGTTCGGCACCACGGACACGTTTCCTTTCGTATCCATATCAACTCGAATGCCTAGACTAGCCAGTTCTGCCGACTGGACAGGTTTGTTGGCCTCCAACTTGGCGACTTCTGCCTGATTGTGCTCGTTATTGTCCAGGACATTACGAATCGCAATGACGGCCCACTCCCGTAGTGTAAAACAAGAGTGCGCCAAACTAGTGCCATTCCCTCCTTCCTATCGACCCAGCCCTCTCGATTCGAAGTGAAGGTCCTTGGGGAGGAGGAAGAGGACGAACTCCCGGTCCTCTATTTCAAGCACGACGGTGGCTTTCTTTTGCCAAACTCTGGGTACTCTTCTTTTGTGCCGTTCTCGTTGTGGGAACTGGTGTCATATTCCATACGTTTCATCATCGGGAAAGCAGGCGAAGCAAGTCCATTCAGCAACAAAGCGAATACAATCAACAACTAGCCAATGAAAATCAGCAAGTCCCTCAGCAAATTTTGCTATTGCCACTCAACAATGCATCTGAACTGGCAAGACAACAACGAGAAGCGGAGGAAGCGCTGCAGAAGCAAAATCGACATGGCGCGAGACGCCTCTTGTCTGACTTGAACGACTTGCGCACCGAGTTTGAGAATTGGATTGTCAAGCACGGAAAGAACTATGCTCACCGCACGAAAAGGAACATCGATTTGGAGTTTGGAAGGACAATCATTTCAGGACCGCTGCCAAAAACAAGCGACATGGCAATTGTCCCATGATGAAACAACCAGTCTTTGGATCCAATCACTTGCAAGACTTGACAACCGAAGAGTTTCAAGCGCAATATCTCACTGGATACAACGGTCCCAATGCCGATGGACATGAAGTCAAGACGGGTCGAAAACGACAACTGGTCAATATGCCTCCTGTAATGCATCCAGAAATGAAAGTCACGCGACATCCTACAGTACATCACCGACTATTGCAACAGTGGCAATTGGCGCGATTTACTAGTTCCACCAAATGCAGCTGGTGGGATGTTCGTGCTGGATGCGAGTGGTCTTTCAGGAGTATTTGTACGTTGGCACAGGGACAATGGAACCCAAATACGACAGTGACACATATCCCAACTCATCGATTGGAGAGACATGGGAGCCATTACAGATGTACGACGGCAAGGTAAGTGCGGACTTGAAATATGGTGTGATGCCTTTGTTGTGTTTGTTTGATTGGATTGAATTGCCTCTCATGATACATCACTTGCAACATTTCAAAACACAGGGGATTGTGGCGCTTGCTGGGCAATCACCGCAGTCGAGACCATTGAATCGGCCTACTTCATAGGCACGGGCTCACTTCTGGACCTCTCCGAAACTGAAGTAATCTCGTGTACAGACTCGTGTAACATGTGCTTTGGCGGTTGGCCCCAGGATGCATACGACTACGTCATGGATCACAAGGGCATCATGTTGTCCAATGATTGGGGCTACGACGGAGACACTCTGTTGGCGTTGTCGCAGAACATGGAGGCAGACGACAGCGAGCTTGACGGTGACATGTTTGGATCTTACATTAGCGAGAACTGTCCGGCATCGCAGGGTTCCGGAGATGGTGGAAATGACGGTTCCAGGTATGGCAACATCAAAGGATATGGCTTTGCCACAGATAGATGCGTATGCTATTCGGATGGATCGGGATGTGATTGCGACAACCAAAACGAAGGACTTGCGGTAAGGAACCTTGCAAGTTATGGCCCAGCAACTGTCTGTCTCGATGCCTCCGTCTGGCAAGACTACTTGACTTGATTGACTTTACGCCCGCCGATGAACCCATCCAAACCACATCTGGATTGCTGTTGACTCATCGAAGATCTTCGGCCGAGAAACGAGCAGATAAAGGCAAGTCATACTCCAGAGGAACATTCCCTCCTTCCTATCGACCCAGTCCCTCTCGATTCGAAGTCGAAGGTCCTTGGGGAGGAGGAAGAGGACGAACTCCCGGTCCTCTATTTCAAGCACGACGGTGGCTTTCTTTTGCCAAACTCTGGGTACTCTTCTTTTGTGCCGTTCTCGTTGTGGGAACTGGTGTCATATTCCATACGTTTCATCATCGGGAAAGCAGGCGAAGCAAGTCCATTCAGCAACAAAGCGAATACAATCAACAACTAGCCAATGAAAATCAGCAAGTCCCTCAGCAAATTTTGCTATTGCCACTCAACAATGCATCTGAACTGGCAAGACAACAACGAGAAGCGGAGGAAGCGCTGCAGAAGCAAAATCGACATGGCGCGAGACGCCTCTTGTCTGACTTGAACGACTTGCGCACCGAGTTTGAGAATTGGATTGTCAAGCACGGAAAGAACTATGCTTCACCGCACGAAAAGGAACATCGATTTGGAGTTTGGAAGGACAATCATTTCAGGACCGCTGCCAAAAACAAGCGACATGGCAATTGTCCCATGATGAAACAACCAGTCTTTGGATCCAATCACTTGCAAGACTTGACAACCGAAGAGTTTCAAGCGCAATATCTCACTGGATACAACGGTCCCAATGCCGATGGACATGAAGTCAAGACGGGTCGAAAACGACAACTGGTCAATATGCCTCCTGTAATGCATCCAGAAATGAAAGTCACGCGACATCCTACAGTACATCACCGACTATTGCAACAGTGGCAATTGGCGCGATTTACTAGTTCCACCAAATGCAGCTGGTGGGATGTCTCGTGCTGGATGCGAGTGGTCTTTCAGGAGTATTTGTACGTTGGCACAGGGACAATGGAACCCAAATACGACAGTGACACATATCCCAACTCGATCGATTGGAGAGACATGGGAGCCATTACAGATGTACGACGGCAAGGTAAGTGCGGACTTGACAATATGGTGTGATGCCTTTGTTGTGTTTGTTTGATTGGATTGAATTGCCTCTCATGATACATCACTTGCAACATTTCAAAACACAGGGGATTGTGGCGCTTGCTGGGCAATCACCGCAGTCGAGACCATTGAATCGGCCTACTTCATAGGCACGGGCTCACTTCTGGACCTCTCCGAAACTGAAGTAATCTCGTGTACAGACTCGTGTAACATGTGCTTTGGCGGTTGGCCCCAGGATGCATACGACTACGTCATGGATCACAAGGGCATCATGTTGTCCAATGATTGGGGCTACGACGGAGACACTCTGTTGGCGTTGTCGCAGAACATGGAGGCAGACGACAGCGAGCTTGACGGTGACATGTTTGGATCTTACATTAGCGAGAACTGTCCGGCATCGCAGGGTTCCGGAGATGGTGGAAATGACGGTTCCAGGTATGGCAACATCAAAGGATATGGCTTTGCCACAGATAGATGCGTATGCTATTCGGATGGATCGGGATGTGATTGCGACAACCAAAACGAAGGACTTGCGGTAAGGAACCTTGCAAGTTATGGCCCAGCAACTGTCTGTCTCGATGCCTCCGTCTGGCAAGACTACTCCGGAGGCATCATCACGTCTTCATCGGGCTGCAATCCGCAGTTTCTGGCAATGAACCACTGTGTGCAAGTGGTAGGCTACGCGTACAATGATGGAAGTAGTCAGGCAGACGATCAAGACGAAGGAGGCAGCGGAGACTCGGGAAGTGGCAGCAATGATTCTGGTTCGGGTAGCGGTGACGGTAATGACAGGGTTGGCTACTGGATTGTCCGTAACCAGTGGTCACAGAACTGGGGTATGAGTGGGTACGCCTATGTTTCAATGGGCGAAAACACGTGTGGGATTCTAAACGACATGACGCAAGCGTACATGGCTAACTGATTAGAAAACCGCTAAAACTTTACACAGATCCAGAACCAATTCTCCGCTTGTGCTAGCTACCGCTGTAGAAAGGCTGGAGTACCATTGGGAGCACATTGACTGACTCGACTCATGGTATCTTCGGCTGTGGGCTGACTGCTGGGTCGTTCGACTGAATCACGGTCCCACAATGCCGATTGCGGAACCAATTGATGTTTCGACAAATAACTGACATGGATTGAATCATGATAATACTCTTCTTCACTTCGCTTGAACCGGGATGCAGCCGTGATAAACTAAATGGTCCTTTCTTTATTGCTGATTGCTGTTCTCGTCCACCCTCATTCATTTGTGTTGTTGTTTCGGGGCAAGCAAGTTGCCAGTGGCAATCATTTCTACCACCAAAGACGCGGCAACGAACCCATAGGAACCAGTGACAAAGCATGCAGTGCCCATTGGGCCATCGCAGCGTCTAAAGGAAGATGAGTCATCGTTACACACTGGCGGGGGCACTTCAGTGGAGAAGACTGTCGGGATCTTCCACTCTCTCTTTTTCATGGAAACTTTAGCCTTTTCGGACAGTTTAAGCCCTCGTTCAAATCCATGGAACTTTCTCAAGTTCTTTCTACAGGTCGCCAGCAATCGATCATTTTCCACGTGGATCAAATCGTCAACTACGATTTTGGTGGGATCCATCCTTCCTGCTGCCGCTCCAATGGTGACAATAGGGATGCTTAGGTTGACACATGCCGCCAAGAGGGCTGTTTTCTCCTTGGTCCCGTCCATGGCGTCCAGAAGTGCTGTGGTGCTATTTCCACATTGGTTTTCCAAGATGTCATAGACATTGTCCGCTGTGACAAAGTCATGGATCAATGTGATGTTGCACTGTGGGTTGATCTCAATAAGCCTACGCTTCATTTCGTCAATCTTCAATCGTCCGACGGTGGTGGATGTGGCGTGCAATTGTCGGTTGGTGTTGGATATGCAAATGTCATCCAAGTCAATGAGTACCAGGTTTCCAATTCCACTACGGCACAATGCCTCGGCAGCCCATGATCCAACTCCTCCCAAGCCTACCACAACGACGGTAGATTGTGACAATCGGTCAATAACCTCCAAATAAGAAGGAGCAGTTGCAGATGAACCGGGAGAAGGAGTGGCTCCCTTTGCATACAGCCTGTCGGATCCGATAGATTGATGGATATTACATCAGGGTTAGTGAGGAAGGGCAGGAGTAAAGGAATGATCATCTAATTGGATTTCTATGTTAATCCCAACAGCTGACGATAAGATACCCCTTCCACACAATTCCTTCTCGTACCTGCCAATTCCCGCAAAACGTAAGTTTCTTTCTTCTGTAGCCATATCTCTCATTATATTACCCATATCACCGTTCATTCCCTCTTGGTTTTCTGGTACAAAGAGCTCGTCGGGAGCTGCCACTCCCAGATCCACATGGTTGTTCCGAGACCATTTCAGCACTGCCGTTGGTGAAAAGGATCGTATGGTGGCTGTCGACAGCAGAAGTAGAGACAGTAGCAGTGACGACATCATATTTATCTCTTTCACAATGTAGTGTTGCCGTCGAAGGTGTCCATTGGACTGCGCTCTGTGGTGATGAGTGAGGATCGAGTGGTGGGTGGTGGGTGGTGGGTGCATGGTGTTGGTGGTGAGAAGATGCATTGGCCAGTGTTTAGCGCCTGTGCGGGATGGAGAACGGTTTCAAAAGCTTCGCTGGCTTTTTAATCAAAAGGTTCAGGATATCCTTGCTGGCTTGACTGTATGCACGAATGAAGCCTCATTTTTCTAACGCGAACAGAACCCCAAACCGTGCGCCTTGTGAAGAACAAAGAAGCGCCTTGAAAGGAAACATTTTACCGGGCACGAGGCAACAGAACTGTGGCTTGATGGGTTGACTCTGTCAATCCCAGTAAATTATTTAGAATACTCACTTTTTGCTGCAATTGATAAAAAAAGTAGGATGCGCCTTGAATCCATCAACAGGGCGTGACACATGAGAACTGGAGCTTGGAGCTATCCAAAGAAGCAATTGGTCGATGCCATGGGAACTTCACCACGACTCTGGGGTCTTGATCCACAAAGTCTGCAAGATAATAGCTACCGGTAGCTAGACCGAGTCACTCTTCGCATAAAGTTGATTTGGAGCAAAATGAAAGAGACTGATTTGAGAACTGATCGGGCAGAGGCTGGCGACATGGCCCCTGCCACCGGCAATGGTGACCAAAACAAAGACGAACCTAATGAAGAAAAGAATGAAGAGATCAAGCCGCAAGCTTCCATTGCGGAAGTTTTCTCGTTTGCCAAGACAACCAAAGTGAAATTGCTCATTGTGGCAGCTCTCTTGGCGGCAATCGTTTCTGGACTTGTATTGCCAGCCTTTGTAAGTTATGACATATGGTGCCACTAGCAGAGTGAGTGAGGTCCCGGTAGATACCTCGACGACTAAACCTTTTCCATATCTTTCTGTTTAGGTATTCTACTTTGCAGAAGTGTTTGAAGATTTGGGGGGCGACCCCAGCTCTGATGAATTCCTCGGGAACATCCGGACAATGGCTTATAGCTTGATGATATTGGGTGTTATTGCCTTTACATTCATGTCCCTTCAAACTACTCTAATGGAAACTGCAGCGGGGGAAATGACCGCGGAGCTCAAGAAGCAGTGGCTCATGGCACTCTTAAGACAGGACATGGCCTACTTTGATGTCAAAGATGTTGCATCACAGGCACCCATCATAACCAACAATGGCAGGCAATTCAGAAGGTACTCGCCGTTATGTTCTGTACATCATGTATGACCGTCTCGTCATCGTCAACAGCCTTTCTCAACCATTCCCCTGTTTCTACTCTATCAATATTATCACACCACCGTACACAGAGGAGTTGGAGCCAAGTTGGTGGCGGGTGTTCAGTTCATAGTTACATTTGTGGGTGGAATTGCATATTCATTCTATGCCTCGTGGCGCACTTCATTGGTGCTCTTGGCCATTTCCCCCTTTATGACGGCCAGTGCGATGCTCCTTGTCAAGCTCAACACCACGACAACTGCAAGGAAGAATGAAAGTTATGCCAAGGCAGGATCAATTGTCAACATGACTGTCTCGTCCATTCGCACAATCCTCTCCTTGAATTCAGTTCAGGTGGTCATTGACAAGTTTGTCGAGGCCACCGAGGAGGCGTGCACGGGAGCTATTTCACAAACTCATCTGTTGGGATTCGCAAATGGATCCCAAATGGCAAGCATGCTGCTGGCGTTCATTCCGGTTATTCTCTACGGAAGCTACCTCATGTACACGGATGTTCGTGAGACTGGTTGTGACCCGTCGGGAGCAATTGCAGGAAACGAAACCTGTGATCCGGCTGGGAAGGATGTCTTTGGAGCCTTGATGGGAATAACGATTTGTGCGTCCGTCCTACCTCAGGTGAGCCAACCTACGTCTAACCCTTCGGGCCTGTCTTGGGCAATGGTCGATGAGTCGCTCACAGATCACTTTTTGTACGATAGGTTTCTGTGGCTATAGAGGCAATCTCGAGTGAGTATTTGACACGAGCGTGTTTGCTTTGCGTGTAGTACGGCATTGTGAATGCTGGGTTTCTCATTTGTGTTTACCCTTGTCGAAGGCGCGAGAGTGGCATGCTTCCCAGCGATCGCCGCCATGAACCGCACGATCAGCGGAGGGGAAGGCAACAACACTTCGTCGTCCCAGGAAGCAAGCGAGGAACACGGTCCAATTCGAAGAGGAGGTAGTACTCTTCCAAAGTACGAGATTGATTCGTCTTCTGAAGCAGGACTCAAGCCCCAGAGTGTATCTGGCTCCATCCGCTTTGACAATGTTTCGTTCGCGTATCCAACGAGGATGGAGTCTGAAGTCTTCAGCGGCTTCTCACTCGACGTGGAAGCAGGGAAAACCGTTGCATTAGTCGGCCCAAGGTACGTCGAGCCTTCGTCGCTTCCTGTATCTGTTTACCAAACCTTTCTAATGAGCCTCTAGTGGGAGCGGGAAATCGACAATCGTCCAGGTGCGTCTCCGAATTCCTCTTTCATTGCCTGCGAACACCCTAGAATCGCCCCTCAACAGTTCATGTCTATGCATCTCATAGCTCATCGAAAGGTTCTACGACCCCGTGTCGGGTCTCATTACGCTTGATGGCATTGACATTAAGTCGTTGAACGTCAAGTGGCTAAGGCAGCAGATTGGATTGGTGAACCAGGTACGTCGGTATAAACCAGTCGATAATAAATCTGAATCGAAAAGGCGCAATGAGCTCAAGACAATTCAATGCCACCACAAAGGAACCCTGCCTGTTTCCCATGAGCATAAGAGACAACATCAAAGTCACTTGCCCTGATGCAACTGATGAAGAAGTCGAACAAGCTGCAAAGACAGCAAATGCTCATGAGTTCATCATGTCTTTCAATGAAGGATACAATACACAGGCAAGTAGCATGTTTTGACTTGGATTTGGGATGGTGCTGTCGGTATTTGCTCTATACTCAAGTATACCGCGTTTGCTTTCAGGTTGGCGACAAGGGATCACAATTGTCTGGCGGTGAGTTCAGAGGAAAAAATTGACATCGTGCATGTATTGGGACACAGAGTATCTCATCTGCCTCGTCCGTCACGATTCTGAATCTCGCGACCTACAGGCCAAAAACAACGCATTGCCATTGCTCGCGTTCTCCTGAAGAAGTGCTCGATTCTACTTCTCGACGAGGCCACCAGTGCCCTTGACTCTGAATCCGAGGCCGTGGTGCAACTGGCAATCGACAACCTGATGAAATCTCGAAACCTTACCACAATTGTGGTTGCTCACCGTCTTTCGACTGTAATGAATGCAGATGTCATCGCAGTCGTGGACGGCGGCCGGATTGTCGAACAAGGGAAGCATGACGAACTTCTCGCGAAACCAGGCAAGTACTTTGAGCTAGTCAAAGCACAACAGCTGGACAAAGAGAAGCCGGATGATGGAAGCGGTGGTAACGAAACCGACACAGAGCCGGCCTCCGCATCTCCAAGCAGAGCAAGTAGTTTCATGGAGAACGGAGAGGGCGCAGACAGCATTGCTCCCATCATTCGCCTAAATGGCGTGAGCTTCGCATACCCATCTAGACCAAAGAACACTATCTTCCACCACCTGAACCTGTCCATTCGAAAGGGGGAGACTCTTGCGTTTGTTGGGCCGTCAGGTACGTGCAGGAATTTCGCCCCTTATCGTTGAAACACTTTTTCCTGCCATACCCATGTCCCACCGTTTGTCCCGCAACTCGTCGATCACAGGCCATGGGAAATCAAGCATAATACAGCTTCTCGAAGCCTTCTATCGTCCGACTGAAGGAAAAATTGACTTCCTTGGACATGACATGAAGGATATCAATGTTAGTTGGATGCGAGATCAGATTGGGTTGGTAGCTCAAGAACCCACCATGTTTGACCTTACCATCGCCGAGAATATTCGCTTTGGCTGCCAAAATGCAACGCAAGCTGACATCGAAGAGGCCGCAAAGAAAGCCAATGCCCATGACTTCATCGCAAAGTTCCCGCAAGGCTACAATACTCCGATGGGAGAAGGGGGGCAACAGGTTTCGGGAGGGTAAGTCTGAGGAGTGGGTTCGTAAGTCAATTTGTGGACAGGAGCTCTGACACGGGGCAATTCCTCCATTCTTAGCCAAAAGCAGCGAATTGCAATTGCTCGGTGCCTTGTCAGAAAGCCGAAAGTGATTTTGCTCGACGAAGCAACATCTGCTCTTGATTCTGCCTCCGAAGGAATCGTGCAAGAAGCCCTTGACAAGATCATGGCTGATGCCAATCAAACGACCATTGTTATTGCGCACCGGCTTTCTACAATCCGCAACGCTGACCGTATCGCCGTGATTGCGCATGGTCGGGTCGTAGAAATTGGCACGCACAACGAGTAAGTATGGGCTGCTGTATATCTTTGCCTTCGATCCTCGGTATCGTGATTCTCTGATGATTGAAACTCTTCACGTCTATACCTTAGACTGATGGCCAGGCCCCATGGTCAATACCGTCGACTCCAGTCGTTGCAAAACCTCGACGAGGCAAAACACTCTAACGCATCCACAGGTGGTGTATTCTCCAGCGTCTCAGAATCCACGAAAGTAAAAGGACAAATCAAAGAAGAAACGAAGAATAACAAAGAGGAAGAAGTTGGCGATGTAGGCGCTGATCGTGCCAAGACACTCGCGGCACGGGCACGCTTGTTGGGCCGTGAAGACTGGCCCTTCTACATCCTTGGAGGGGTTGGTGCGGTTATGGCGGGATTTTTCTTTCCTGCTTTTGGCTTTGTATTTGCTGACATGGTCGACGTCCTGTATTATCCTGTCTTGCCTTGTAATGCAACCGCGGAAGTGTGCTCGGAAATCTGGGACAGCGTCGCAGACGACATGAGAGACGACTCCCAACGAGTCTTTTACGAAGTCTTGACAATCATGGTGATCACCTTGGTGGGCAACATGCTGCTGTTTTATGGTTTTGGAACGGCTGCCGAGAGAATGAACAAGCGAATCCGAGACGCCGCATTCAAGAGTCTTGTTGTCCAGGAGGTCGGATGGCACGACCTACACCCTCCTGCAGCCATCGTTGCACAGATGGCCGAGGATACCGCGATGCTTCATGCTTTTGCGGGAGAGCCTATCCGAACATTTTCCATATCGGTTTCCAGCGTTCTTGTTGGCCTGATCATCTCTTTCGTGTACATGTGGTAGGTATATCGATCTGCAACGACCATTCATGGTGTCTTTATATATTCGCACTGCGGAAACCTCTCATCGAGTGTCTCTTCCTTTTCCATTTGCAGGCCCTTTGCTCTGGTATGTCTTGGCATTCTTCCGTTCATGGCATTTGGTGCCGAGATGGAAATGGCCATGTACAACGGCGAAGATGAGGGAGATGAAAGTGACGACCACAAACACTCGTCCAGCCAGATTGCTGTTGAGTCTATCAGCAATATTCGGACTGTGGCAGCTTTGACGCTGGAACCGGATCGTTTATCCATATATTCCCAGTCGCTAGCAGAAGAGGACCCCACACCTATCCGTAGCAACTTTATCAAGGGTTGCTCAATCGGTTTAGGCCAGTTTGTTCAAATGGTGAGTGCTGTCTTGGTGACGGCTTTGCAATTGGCATTGTAATACAGCATGGATGGTCGTTTCACAAATGCGTGTCCTCTTTTATCGCTCCTGTGGCTTGCAGTGGGGTATGGCATTGATGTTCTGGTGGGGTGGTTGGCTGCTGCGAAATCACGGGGACTCGTTTACCTATCGAGATTACCTGATCTCGATGTTCGGTCTCTTCTTTTCTCTGTACGGCTTGGCGCTTGCATTTGAAGGCATGGTGGACAAGGACAAAGCCAAGCTCGCAGCACTCCGAGTGTTTGAGCTTATTGATAGGGCCAGCCTGATTGACCCACTCAGTGAAGAGGGTATGAAGGATTTGTGCTACGACAGCGTCACTGGCATGAGTTCGGAAGACTTCAAATATGACGACCTTACCTCTGACGGTGTCATGCATTCCTTGATGGCTGCCAATGAATTCTTTGTCTAAAGCTGCAGCGTACGTTCTCTTGAATTGTTTCTGTTGTGCTTGTCCGATGGGCCGTGACGGTACCGGTAGAGTGAACCGTCCTCGTCTTATCCGAGACATACCGGTACCGTCGTCCATTGTCCATGAAAAGTACATGTACGATAACTTCAGTAATATAGCATTGAACATCTACAAGTAGTCTTCTTTCGCTTACACAATGAACATGCTACCAGGCCAGGCTTTTCTCTTCATAGGCCGCTCAAGGGACTTTCGAAAGGGATTGTCCTGTCCACATCAGCGGACAGTCATGTGCTGCACTCTGTTACAAGTCAAAGTGCAAAGGAAGTCCCAGCAGACGGCTCGAGCTTCGACAACCAGGCGCTAGCGAGTCTTTAGGAAGGATGGTTGCAATGCTCAGAAGGAGTTTTTGCAAAGGAGGCATCTCAGGTGGATACGGTATTCTCCCTCGGACTGAAGCTCAAGAAGCTTATCCGGCTTACCGTACTTAGTACCCGGTGTTTCCCTTGGATCAGGCGACGTGTCCGACTGGTTCCAAAAGCAAATTAGATCTTGGGTGGGACAGAACACAGGAAAACAAGAATGCGATCAAAAGAAGCTGTCAGCAGCCACGCACACTGGTTCTTGTTGTTCCTGCAACCTGCAGCGCCGCGTGGGCATTTCTATTCTTCTATTCTTCTCATTATCAATCAATCCGACCATGAGGGTATTGAGAGGTTTACTTCCGGTCGTGGCGGTGCAACTAGCCTTGCTGCCATCCTTCTGTTTGGCGGTCGAGGAAACAAGCGAGGAACGAGAGTTATCATTTCTACCCAGCACTGACGAAACAGAAGTTCATGATGTTCTGTTGGAGATTTCCGCCGCCACAAGTCAGGAAGACTTTGAGTCTGATGTGATTCACGGGAACGTCCGAGGAGGAAGAGAACTTGCTACATGCTACAGCTATGATGACTGCGGCAGCTGTTCTGAACTGTCGCGTTGCCATTGGTGCGATCATGACCAACGTTGCCATGTCAAGGGCTCCTTTTCGGGTTGCTTAGAGGGCAGTACGTGCTCCAGGGGCGACGATGACAAGAAGGACGCTTGCTCGCAGCACTCTACTTGTTCTGATTGCGGAAACTCTCATAGCTGCCATTGGTGTGCGCACGACGATTCCTGTCACAGTATCGGCAGCATCTACGGCTGTGTCAAAGGGGTGGATTGCTACTCGAACGATCGTTGTCGCCGCAAGGAACCAGAGCCTCTGGCTGCCGAGAAACAGACATTTACCAACATGGGATTCTTTCCATTGGGTGTTGCGGCATTCATTTCCAGTCTTTTACTGTTGTGTGCTTCCTCTTGTTTGTTCTGTGCCTGCAGAACAAGAAAGACACATGGTAGCGGACATTATGAATTACAGGCAGAGGACGCCGGTTATGCGCTGTTGACATGCGAAGAGGAGTCGGCAACATCATCATCCACCGAACCAGAGAATGAGGTACCACAGGACAAACAACCGGCTCCGGTACCCAATGTAGAAGAAGCCCTATCTCCAGAAGAGACCGGTGCCCGCGCCGAGGAAGACCCAGAGAAAAATTACCAATCCATGGAGGTCGAAGAACCACAATCGCAAGGGCAACAGGAAGCTACTCCTCTGCTCACAGGAGGAGCGCAAGATAGTTCAGAGGAAATTTCTCAAAGCCCTACAAAGTGTGCGAGGAGGTTGCTGCATGTCTGTACTGGTTTCTATGTCCTGGCGGTAGTATTCATTGGAAGTCTCACCTTCGGCGCCATTCGATTATACCCCAAGATTCCAGAATACTCGGTCTGCAACGATTCCGTGGGCTGGTCCAAGCTGTTCGAAAAGATGGCTACCGGAAATCTTATGGTGGACTTTGAGGTTCTCATGTCCATTGAAAACGCCAACCATCTGACCGTTGCACTAGACGAAGGACACGGTCTCTTCAAGTATGATGGTACTGTTATTGGAAGCTATACAATTCCTCCAGTAAAAGCGTCCGCCATGGCCATCACAGACGTTATGATTATTGCGACACTGCACCCTCCGAGCTGGGAGGCAATCGCGTTGGCAAAGGAATATTACGATGGAAAATTGGTGTTGGAAGTAGATGCCGACGTGGTTGTGAGGACGCCGTTCTTCCTCAACTATTCACAAGCCGTCTCCGTGAAAGACCAGGCCGTCAACATCAATGAAGAATCGGATCGTCATCTGTGCTCCTGCCAAAAGTGGGATGGCAGCAACAGCACCCTCTTTGTTCAAGTCAAACATTTCTTGGATGGATTGTAGTGGCTTGTGTGCATGTTTCAAAAATAGAAAAAGAATGAAGAATTAGGCTACGTTTTGCATTTGAAAGTTTGTCTACTGGTAGCTAGGACCAATTTTCCTTTGAAGGATTGTTGATGGAAATAATGTCCACACCGTGATCAGCAACTCCCAACACTAGAGACCAATGCAACCTGCTCCCACTGAACACTTCGGATTCAATAGCAAGCTACAATACCTGTGCATAGCTGCCGGTGGCTAGCGGTACTTCCGTAATAGCTGCTACAGTAGTGCCACCGAGCCACCGAAACAGCAAAATTCGCTCTAGAGGTGGAGATGTGGAGATATCGAGATATCTGTGACTGTTTTGTGGTTGTTAAATCTTTGATCTCCATTGACATAAGTATCTTTAATCCTTTGTTCTCCATTTTTAAAATTTACAGTCTTTGCAGTCACTATGTCACAATCTATTCGATTCACGATTGAATCTCCCTGTTTCGGTACATTTACACGGACACCGGGTCAGTATTTTCGTATTTCGTCTCCCGGAGACGACTTGCTTTAGGGGTAAGGGTACTGTTGGGGGCAGAGGTTTGAATTATACCCGGCGTGCAATACTTAGAGGCCTCTGTAGAAGTCTACGTATTTGACTAGTATTGTATTGACGGGATACAGTCAACGCATGTACATGCACATGAAAGTCGCCTCGCTTTTCACACAAGTTTCGCATGAATGAGCTCGAGCTTCACATTTTTCGCATGAATGAGGGATCACATTTTTTGCATGAATGACGAGGGAGCCGGGGCGAAGCAGAGAAAGGGATGAGCGCGCGGAGCGCGCGAATACTGTTTCAATAAAGCGAGTTAGGTGTTGGTAATAAAAGATTTATGGAAACGGAGACGAGCCAGGAGGCATATCAATTTTTATTCCCTCTTTTCCTTGAGAATGTCCGACGTGAAGGCAACAATGCAGGCCATTTCGTTTGGCTGTATTACATAGTACTGGTACCGTACCAACAACACGAAAAGGACAGTACGTTGTTGCAACTGGCCCGAAGCGAATGCCCACAGTTCGACAAAGATGATGAAATATAGCAGTAGTCGCCGAGTGCTGGAAGTGTCGAGGGTCCCAGTTCCTCGCGCAGTTCCGTCGTCTAATACTCGAGTGATGAGGGATTTCTGTGGGTCTGTCAACTCGTCTACCGACTCCATGATGGCGGGTGATGACGATGTATCCACCGACTTCACCAGTGCGGTGGTAAATAGCTCGTTGCGCCGATCCATGAGTAGTGCATTGAGCTCGGGGGTGAAGCCCATTGTTCCACAAGAACGGAGGAGCGACAACCTTGAGCAGTTGACAATCCATAAACTTCGCTTCGAGATGGTGGGATTACACGGGAGAGAAAAGGAGGTTCAGACGCTGCGCGACTGTTTGGATCAGGTTGCCTCTTCAGATAGCATTGGCTGTACCCAACAAGGGCACTTGATCTTGGTGTCAGGAGTCAGTGGTTCCGGAAAGTCAAGACTTGTTGAAACGCTCCGTCTTCCGACCATCCAAAAGAATGGCGTCTTTGGTCGAGGGAAATTTGACCTCAGCAGGAGGAATCAACCGTTTTCCGGGGTCTCTCGGGGATTCACAGAGATCCTTGACTTCCTTCTCAACACGGATTTGCCCGGCAATCCTCTGATCTCCGTCAGGAAGGAACTTGAAACAGAGCTTGGTTCGGGACTGCCCCCCTTGACACGAGTTGTGCCAATGCTGGCAAAAGTTGTGCCAACAAGTGTTGCACTAGACACTGCAACCCAACAAACTGAAACAAATGACGCAGGCACCAAGAATCAAATTCGTTTCGCCTTTCTGAAGCTTGTGCGGATCTTGACGCAGCACGTCAGTCCAATTGTACTTGTCCTCGATGACCTTCAATTTGCTGATATCGACTCGCTTGAGTTACTGAAAGTCTTTATGACAGATCCAAAAGATGTATACCCCAAGCTTCTTGTCGTGGGAATCTACCGTGCCAACGAGGTTGATGAAACTCATATTCTCCATCGATATCTCGAAGACTTTGATACGAGAAGCCAGGAAGATGATTTCAACCTTTCCAAAGTCGAGGTTGGCGACCTGGGCCTGGAGGCAGTCCACAGGATCATACAAGATCTTCTGGCAACTGACAACGATGAAAGAACAATCAGCCTTGCTCAGATTTGTCACAGCAAAACACACGGCAATCCTTTCTTCCTGAACCAGTTCTTGGCAATGCTCTACGAAACACGGCTGCTAGAATTCAACTTTGCTACACTCAGTTGGGTGTGGAATGACGACGAAGTCAAATCCCATGCTAGAGCCACAGAAAATGTGAGTCATCTGTTGAAGGAGAAAATGAAAACGCTGCCTCCCGTTCAAACCGAGATCCTGACGGTCGCTTCCTGCCTGGGGGCGACGTTCAATCAACGCGACCTGGAACTCATCTTGAGAGGATCCTACAATTGTACTGGTGACCAAGATTTTGACAACGTCTTTAACGAAGGCCTCGTGAGGCTCAAGGACGAAAGCTTCCTTGTGGAAGTAGTGGAGGGTTTGGGGCGAGCCTCGCCTAAGCTCACGTGGTCGCATGACAGCATGCAGGAAGCTGCCACGGAGCTCCTGTCAGAGACAGATCGGCTCTTGCTTTATAGGCGGTCCGGAGAGTTGTTGATGACAACGACAATGGATGATGAAGAAGATGGTTCTAAGCTTTTTGTCGCCGTCGAATTGCTCAACAAATCCAACTTGGATGAGATGGACGAAGCTGCACGGGTAAGACTTGCCCAGCTCAACCTCACGGCATCTCAGAGAGCAATCAAGGTTGCTGCTTACAGCAGTGCTGCGAAGTACGCTGACGAAGGTATCAAGCTCTTGCCCGACAATGCCTGGGCAGATCATTATGAGCTTTCACGACCTCTGCACTCGATCGGCGCCAGGGCACATGGGCTTAGCGGAAATGTTGGGATCATGGAAGAGTACTGCAACGCTGTCATCGCACAAGAGGGAAAACCCTATGAAGATAAATTCGATGTGTATACTACCATGATAGAAAGCATGACACATCATGAGAGGGTACAGGATGCGTTGGATCTCATGCTCGGAATTCTGAAGCAGAATGGATGTCGGTTTCCAAAGAGCACTGCCTCTATTGGTCTTCAGACTGTTTCCAACCTCTTACGAGTAAAGCTCACAATGAAGTCTCGCGATCCTTCAAAGCTGAAGCCCATGAATGACCAGAGAAAGATCTTTTTCATGAGACTGCTAAGAAGCCTCGTCACTTGCATGTACCTCGTGAATGATGGCCGCATGGCAATGGTGATGTTCAGAAGTCTCAACTGGACCATCAAGTATGGATACTGCAACGATTCTCCTGGAGCGTTTGCATTGGTTGGCATTGTTTTGACAGGTGTCCTGAATGACCTTGAAGGCGGCGCCCTTTACGGCGAGCACGCCATTGCTCTGCAGTCTCGGTTGGGTTTCACACCTTCTTCGAAACCTGCAGAGACCATGCATAATGTCTACGTGTTGCTTTTCTCCTGGACAAAACTTCAGCAGAGCCTTCTCAAGCCCATGATGCAAGCCTATGAAATTGGTCTTCAAACCGGGTAAGTGACAAAGGGGCAGACCGAACCGGTACCAGCTAGCTTTACTTGCAGCATGGCAAACTCCTTTCTCACCTATTTGATGCCTTGAAATAGGGAAATTGGCTTTGCGCTCTTTCATATACAGAATTGGCTGACGTTCAAGTTTCTCACCGGTAGCCAACTGGATACATTGAATGAGAACTTTGGGACGTATCTGAAGCAGATGGGCGACCTCAAACTAGATGTTTCCTTCAAGATTTGCTCTATTTTTCGTCAGACCATTTTGAACCTTCTAGGGAAGAACAACCCAGATGATCCGATGCAACTGTCTGGGGATTCGTTGAGCAAAGACGACCTGCGGGCTCGTCAACAAGAGCCTTTAATGAAGACAGTAGTCCTCTACAACCAGGGATTGTTGAGGACTTTCTTCGGGGATCATGTTCGGCAGGCAGACATCCTTTTGTCGCTTGGACATGACTATCTGGGTAAGGCAATCATGGCATCTCCCCTCTTGCCGCAAGATGCCTGCTGGAATGGAGTCTCCTGCTTTGCTGCAGCAAGGTCTACCGGCAAGAAGAAGTATGCCAAACTGGCAAACATTTGTCGCCGTAAGATTAAACTGTGGTTGGAACGAGGCAATCCGAATGTCAAGCACTTTGACTCTTTGCTTGACGCCGAGTCAATGGCGTACAGAGGCAAGCCCTATTTGTCAGTCAAACATTACGAGATGGCGATACTGTATGCTGCGCGTGGTGGCCTTGTGCAGGATGCTGCGATCATTAGTGAAAGACTGGGTGAATTCCAGTTGCAGGTTATGAAGGACACTGAGGAAGGGAACTATCGAATACGAAAGGCATCCAAGTACTGGCAAAGCTGGGGGGCCCGTGCCAAGGTTGCGGATCTAAAAAAGAAGTATCCAGATGTCTTCCAATCCACATCAGAGATGCCCGCAACGGAAATCTTTCTTGGTGCCTCGCACAAATCATCGTCTTTGACGTCATGAACAAATAAATGGGACGAGCCATCTGTCTGGCTCCTTGCTGGCAAGGTCCACCGGTGTCTCGAGTTACTCAGGGTGAGAATCGTAAGACTAGATCTAGTACACTTACTTGATGAACACTAAAACGGGAGTACCGATATCTCTCTCGCAACCATTGCTGGCGGCGAGTGGTGTGGTGAGTGGAATGGGTGGGTTTACCGTGGCACCGTGGTGAAACAAGGGGTGCGAGCGCGCAAGGTGGATAACTGTGATTTAAGGTTTGGGTTCAGTGATCGTATTGGCGTTTTAGCAAAAATCCAACGGCGGCGCGACCCAACGCGATCGCCCTCCATTGTTGGTCCATAGCAACCCATCTGCCTTTCTATCTGTATCTACCATTATCACGTCTCCTTTCCATCAGATTGATCATCCAAACAGTGTTCAGACCAAGATGAGCAGCGCGGAGGAGGCAGCCCGAAAAGCACGTGAAATCGCTGCGAAATTGATGGGCGGGGGCGGTTCCTCGCCTACAGCATCGGCCCCTGCCCCTGCTACTACTAGCACTGGGAAGCGCAAACGATGGGGTGTTGCTCCTTCGGCTGTTGCAGACGCCAGTGGTGGTGCTAATGCAGCCCTGCCAGGGTTGGATGCCATGGCCAAGAAACTCAAGCAGGAAGCAGAGCCAGTCCAGAAACGACTTTGGATTACTTCATGTGTCTCCATAGAGCGACCAGCATGGCATTATGTGTCGTTCATGAGCCCAAGATTGGACGAAATCATCCAAAAAGTCAGCAATTTGCTCAAGACGGATCCCAAAGAACTGGAAATCTCCTTCAAAGGACGAGGGTCTTCACGGGAGCCGCCTCTCCCTGGAATCCCAGAAGAACCGTTGCATGTGTTTGTCAAGGGGCCCAAGGAAACCGCGGAAGAAGCGGAACTGGAAATTGACACACTCTTGCAGGAAGCTGAAAAGGCGGAAGTCACCATCGATATCACCCAGGAACCAGAATATCTAGCAGCAAACAACGAAAGCGCAGGACCAGAAAATGACCGGCAGCTTGCTATTGTTGGAGGGCAAGGCCACAATGGGTCCTACCGGCCTGCTACCGTTGCTCAGCTCATTGGCGGAAACGCAAACCACCCTGCAGCTTCGAATAGCGGGGATTGGCCAGCCGAAGAAGTTCATGTTCCGAATGGTATATTATGATTTTGTCATGTCTTGTGTCTCCTGCGGCTTTATCATTTGCCCTCACTTATGTTGTCTTTTGTGTGTGTAGGAGTTGTTGGATTCATTATTGGGCGTGGAGGAGAAACGATCACATCCATGCAGGCACGTACGGGAGCCAAGGTGCAGATTCAAAAGGAACACGAGCTTCAGCCAGGACAAACGATGCGAATCATCACGGTCAGTGCACCCACAAAGGAAGCAGTCGAACAATGCAAAACTATAATCACCAGCATGGTCGAAGATCGAGTTGGAAAAATGGGAGGCTTTGATCGTCGAGGATCGTCAACCATGGGAGGTGAACGCGACAGCAAGGTCCAAGCAGCGTTGGATCAAGGTCACGTACTCAAGACCGTCGAAGTACCCGACAAGGTGAGATCGTTGTAGCGTTGGCTTTGTTTTTTCTTTTTCGTCCCACATCAGCCGTACTCAAGATTTGCTCCTGTATCAAATCATTTAGGATGTGGGTCTTATTATAGGAAAAGGTGGAGCTACCATTCAAGACATCCAGAATCGAACAGGGGCGTCAATTCAGATCCCACAGTCTGCCAGTAACGGCGGCAGCAAGGCGGATGAAGCGATGCGAACTGTGAGCGTTACGCACCCCAATGAAACTGGAGCACAGGAGGCTGTGACCATGATCACTGCCATCTTGGCGTCGAAAAAGTCGGCCAATGAAGGAGGAGGAGGCGGTGGTGGAGGTGGTGGTCCTCAAACTACCATTCAAGTCATGGTAAGTTCACCAGTTGTCGTGGCTCACGGCCACACGGTACACTATCGCAGATTTGATCATGGCGTGGTTGCTTGTGTTTGCATTCATATTGCCGTGCACTAGGGGTGCGGCATTGCCGAGAAACGACGTAAATTCAGGGGTTTGACTAACAAATTCTTACCTGCACGATGATGATTTGTTCGATGGAATTCATCAGATTCCCGATCAGGTACGTGGATTGACACTCATGTGATAGGCTTGTCCTTCTTGATGCCACAACCTCCTCACTCTTGTTTCTTCAGGATGTTGGGCTTTGCATCGGCCGACAAGGTTGCGTCATCAAGGAAATGCAAAACAAAACACGTACTCGAATTCAGATCCCAGGACAGCCGACTCCAGGACAATCACATCGAATCGCCACAGTGTCTGGGACGACTGAAGCTTGTGAACAGGTGCGACAACTGATTGAACGGATCTCTGCCGAACAGAGTAGCAACTGCGTTACTGGCGGTGGCGGACCCGGAGGTGGCGGTGGCGGGTACAACCAGTATGGTGGAGGTGGATACGGCCATGGAGGCCAGCAGCAGGGTGGGCAGCAGGATTACTCCGCAGAATGGGCCGCGTACTATGCAGCTCAAGAAGTGGCCCAAAAGCAACAACAGGCACCAGCACCAGCACCTACTCCAGCACCCGCCCCAGCACCCGCTAGCGATACTTACTATGAGCAATTCTTTCGCTATGCCTATTACTATGGAGAAACTGCAGCAAGGCAGTACTACGGTGCTTGGTCTCCCGCGCCAGGAACGCCGAATCCGTACGGAGTCAACCCTGATGGTGTGACTGCTCCACCTGAGTCTGGAGCCCCTGCAGGCCCATCGGCACCAGCTCCGGCGCCTTCACCACAACCCGCTCCTGCAGCAGCTGCTCCCTCGCGAGGTTCGTTTCGGGACACCAGCGTTCGGAAGGTTTCCAATCTGCCAGCTTGGATGACTCGAGGGCAGAAGTAGGATTAGAAGGTAGAGAATCAAGGCAAAGTAAGGAGAACCGAAGGAGGAGGCATGAAAAGCAGGTTGAATTTGACAAAGAATTTTTTGGCGGAACGGCAAGTATGATGCAACGAAAGACAGTGAGTGAATGATGTGATGATTGCTTGTCAATCTCTTGCATCATGAAAATTTCAGGAGATGGCTGGATGAAACAGTTTATATGCGGTCGGTGGAAATGGTTTGGACCAGTTTTGATGCAGGTCATCACTTTGACTGGAAATGGTAACGAAACGAGCAAATGTGTCTTGAAATGATTTTGTCATTCATCGAAAACACTTTGCTCTTTCCTCCAACAGTATTATTGAATTATTTTATGTTTGTGTGTGTACCAGTACCTGTTTTGTATCTTTCGAGTCTTTTGCTTCGAAAAGAAACAGCTGAAGGATTGGACTCCAACATGGTTAAGTATCAATCCTATGCTGCCGTCTTCTACGTTGCTTTGTTTTGCTGCTCGTTGTGTACACGTGCAAGTTGCCTAGTCCACGGGAGAAGGTGTTGCCCTGACAGAACCGTCGCGGTGTTTAGACCAGCAACAGGCCTGTTTGAGTGGAACAGTCGCTGTCTTTTGGGTTTGGTGCTCATCGTGTATCACGGAAGTTGCTGGTTCAGAACCTTTCTTTGTCTTCACCGTCTGCGCAAAGATTTCTTGGGGCTTGGTGTACACAACAATCCACCAATGCTGATACGTTCATTGAGGGTCAGAAAGTTGTTCAAAGGGTCGGATCGTCTTCAGGTTCTCATTCACTGCATGGCTTTGCCCTCCGTTCCGGTTTTGCTATGTTGGCTTCCGATGGCCTCGGCAAGGTCGTTCTATGACTTCTCCCTGCTGATGGCGCCAGCTATGAAGCGGATTCATTGAAGAGTACCCCTTGGGAGCCGCGTAGTTATGCAGACATGGATGACCGTTGGCACGAGATTTTACGTGTTTGTCATAGCTTTTGTCAGTGGCTGGAGCGAGCAGGGGCTTCCTGAAGGTTACATGCGTAGACGTCCTCGCGGTGTGAAGCCAAATTGATTTCCATCACAAACTCTCAGGTTGAGCTACTGAGTTGAGCACCGGGGTGGGTGCTCAGAGTTTGTCTTCAGAGCTCTACAATTGGTCCTTCGAGACAAGAAGGACGATTCCAGGTCGCAGAACGACACCGCCCATTTGCGATTGGCGCCGAAGCAGTCTATTTGGGAAGAAACGGCCAAACGCACAGCTCAAGATCTGAATTTTTTAAATGATTGCTACCTGAACACGGATTTGAGTCAGCGTTTTTAATGTTGGATGGATGGGGGGTTGCGAATGACGCTCCCGTTGCTTCAAGACAACAAAACAACTTTTGTCTCAGCTTGCATAACTACCTGTGCAGGAAGAGAATCTGGACTCCCTGCGTGCGCTGTGCAGCATCCAAAGATGGGCGCCGCTGAGGAATGGCGGGGCTGTAGCGCAGCTCTCACACCATCGTGAAATTTGGCACAGCGAACGTCCCGTCTGCGGTGACGGAACAATGAGAGCGCATCTACGGCACGTGGTTTCGGCGGTGTCGGATGGATCAGAACTGGAAACTCCGGGTCCAAATGTGAATTCAAAGTCGTAGTTCCAATCGTAGGAAGAAACATCGACTGCCTGAGGGTTGGATCGTGCCCGAAGAATGGCGTCAACTGCAGCACTCAAGAGGGCCATCTTCTCGGTTGCATTTGACGCCTTGGCAGCCACTGCACTTGGTTCATCGCGTGAAGGGTCTGTATAGCCTTTGGGCGTAAGTTGTAATAGCTTGTCAAGCTTGCGACGGATGTAATGGTAACGGTTCTTGACAGCATTTTCACTTCTACCCCGCACCAGCTTCGCTATCATAGACCACTTGGAGCCGATAGCATTGTAGAGGTGGCAGATCAGAGCATCCTCTGCCGGCAACCAACCCATGTCTTGTCCTTTTAGATTTGGCTGAAGATGATTCAAGTAGCGCTCGCGGCATTGCTTGCCCGTGCGACCTGCTACAGCCTGTGCCAGGACGGCCCACTTTAGCTCTTTCAAGCCAAATGCATTGATCGAATCGAGGAGAGTCTGGTCTTCCTCCGAACTCCAGTGTCGTGGACTAACCTTGGGAGAATAGCCATGTGGACTTTCAGTGTGAGGAAAATAGGGCTTCCCTCCGGTCATAGACGAGCAAAACGAGTCACCAGTCTTGTCGGGTTCACTCAATTGACCACTCGGGCTATCCTTCGCAGTAGTGCTTTGTTGCATCTCTGAGTCGTCGTGCGGGTCCGCAACTGGAGTGTCCCCAAAAATGTTCTCGAAACCTGTTTTCTCGTGCGTCGGATCAAACGAGGCACTGTCGTCTTCGGACTAAAGTGGGGAGTGCAGTAAGCGTATGCATAGTTTGGTTGCGCATAAAATAATATGGAAGAGATCAGCCGTAGACTCACCTTCACAAAAGAAAATTGCCCGTTACGAAAGATAAGGCCCCCGTCTTCATCGTCGACGCCGGGGCGGCCTGGAGACAAAAGCGCCCCTGCGCCCTGAACTGCATCCACAATAGGCGGAACTTCATCATCCTTGTCCTCTTCCTTTGTTGTGTCTTTGCAAGTGGGTTGGTGGCTGCGGGCGCAATCCGCAAACGGCGTCGACGAAACGACCAATGTCTCTTCATCATTTGCATCAAACAACACTCGATGTTCTTTGGTTTGCCAATTGAATCCTTGAACAGAACCAATCTGAAACTTCGACAATGATGGTCGATACACCGGGATAGATTTGCCTAGCAAGCATTGGCCACAAAGCAGACTTCTACGTTCGAGATCAGAGACTAGACGGCTCTTCGTATAGCGAGTCCAATCACTCTCGAGGCACTCTATCAGTTTTGTTCCACTTCTTCCGCATTTGTCGCAACTCATGGTTCGTTGAGAGTGCAAGGCCAGGTGCTCGTGGCTACTAGCTGGCTAGGGTGGACGTTGCACGGTTTACCTTTCTACCAGTTCGAATCTATGGAACAGAGCGATCTGTTGCAGATCGTTCACACGATGGACTTGTTCCGATCGTCCACGCTGGGGTGTGTCCTGGTAACGTGGCGTGGAACGATCCGAGGGAAACCAACCAGTCGTACCGGTTCCAGTGGTACGGTACCATACTGTGCCCTTACCGTAGCTCTCGGTGCATCGATGCATCAGTCTCGATTACTCGTTTGAAATTCAACCCATTGAGGTGCACATTTTGGGCTACCGGTACCTGGTTCTGGTACCGTTTGTACCGATCGCGGTACCGGTACATGTATCGCAAGTTATGCTGATACGGACAGCGGGTGCCAAGGCGATTCCCAATGCATTCCTTTACTTCCTATCAATGCAGAGAATCTTGCAGAGCAAGTACCAAAGCCAGTGCAATTGGAAGATCTAGTTAATATTAATCAAAAGCAAACAAGCCCTCCTCTTTCTATGTAGCTGTGAATGGTGTTTTCTTGACCAATCCACTGGAATGTGCATGTATGTACGAGCTAAAATCCAATTATAGCTCTTGTTTCGAATACATGGAAAACATCTTGCCATCTGGTGATGCCACTGTGTCGTATTATATCCATCTCTTATACCCCTGGACTCTAAACGCATAGCGTAAATTGTAACCTGGATTAAGCTGTGCCTCGATCCAAACTGAGTTAAAGAGCCAACCTTTCCGGTTCAAAGTGTATCACCTCTTGACTTTGTTGGTCGTGTTCGTTTTCATCTTGAAACGTAATATCGCTCAGATTGCTTGAAGACCTCACCAGGGAAAACGCCTTGATGACATCATTCTTATCCTTGTGTTGCTTGTTGATTTGAGATTGTTCGCTGCCACTTCGACAACCCCCTTTGTAGCGCATTGAATTGACATGGAGGGAAATTGGGTCCCCGCGTCCGACAATTAGAGAGGATTCTAGACTCTCTCTGCCACTGTTGATTACTTCATATCCCGTTGAGCTTTCGACGATTGTGGGTTTCTCAGCCGAGCTCGAGGAAGTCAGATGGATCACGTTGGGCATACTGCCGCCATGACAAACATCATCTCTGGATTCTCTCAAGGCGGGCGTCATGGTCGCTGACTAACAGTCGGAAAGAAAGACAAGTAAGGAGCTTCGATCGATTGAAAGCTGTTGCGAAGCAAAGCGTCCACTTGAAGCGACGAAAGGGAATTTCTGAATAACGTGCTCCTTCTTTGCCTAACTCAGAAGAACTTTGCTTCTGCGCTTGCGTCAAGATCAAGTGCTCATCACCTGCACCGTGATGTTTTTCGATTTTCGAGCCTCACACATGGCAGTGATACCATTCTGCGAATCTTTAGTTCCCAACGGCATCCGTTGCGAAGTGGCGATTATTAATGCCGTTCGGCGAAAACAACAATTATCCCATCTATTGTGTAACAGTGAGGCCCAGAGCGCTCGCATTGCCGAGCCCGTTTTCCCCGGTAGATATGTATGTGTGTCTCCTCCTAAACTTTTGTTTTGCCAGGAAGACAGTTTTGGGACTAAGAGCATCTTCTACGGTACCATCAGATTTCGTTTAGATTGGGTCATTTGAACACAATCTAAACCAAATTTGATCATATCTTGTTTCTATCACTGTTGTAGAAATGCTGTTTAGATTCCGTTTGGACCAAATTTAAACGAAAACGAAATTTTTGTTTAGATCAAGCCAATCAAAACGAAAAATTGCTCTCTGTTTTGATTTTGTCATGACCCCATTAACCAGTGAAGATTTAGGAAAAATCGTCCATGAGAAAAGGTACAGATTGAGTCCAGTGAGTCAATTGAACCAGAATTTGAACCAAAAACAAACCAGAATGATAGAGAATGACTTGGTGGCACCCCTTTCACACTGGGCAAAAATCAAAACAGAATTAGATCCTGCAGATCAAAACGAGCGGTAGAAAATGCTCTAATATTTTTTACAACCTTTTTTCTTTTTGGCGATTGTCTGAACAAAGCTGTTATGTGGATCTCACCCTATCCATCGCCGATCTTGGCCAATCTCGGCTCTTGGTCTCCCGGATCCCCGCCGATCTCAGCCAATCTCCCGCGAAGATGCCAATAGCAGAGATCCAAGATCCGAGAGCCAAGATCCGAGATCGAATTCACTAGGTTCCAAAACTCGAATCCGAAGGCGCCGCCAACAGCTACAGCTTAATGTACCAGTATATTTAGTATTTGCTCTGATGAACCAACAGCTACAGCTGACGATAGACCGATCACTGTTTGTTGGTTGTTGTCGACCGTTCGAAGCCACCATTGTTGAGTGTTTCGGTTATTGTGGGAAAAGGGCATAGCTTTCACTTTGAGATGGTTGATTGTTGAATTTATGGTGGAAACTGACTGACCGCTTACGCTTGGACTGGAGAGGCAGATGGACATCTTGTTTCGTGCGTCGGAGAAGTTCCGGCTGTTTACCCTCTCTTAACCTTCCGTTAGACAACAACCAGTAGACTAGCAACAAGTCCAATTTTCCATAATCTGGCTGGTGCAACAAATAGCCATGGGAATTGTCTCAGAATGTGGAAAAGTGGTGTTGCTGCTATGGATATGGCTTTTGTTGATTCATTCCCACAAACCGACAGTTGACAACACACATGGTTGGTTAAGAGAGGACCAACCAGTCGCGAGGGATGGCCACCGACTGATAAACATGATAAGCCACTCGTATCCTCCTCTTTTTCATTATTTTGATAGGCTATTCTATCTTTACTCTATCAAGATGATATTATCTCCTATTCTTTACAGTGGCTACACCTCTGCATGACTACTACTACTGCACCACCATGACAGGCTCCTCTTGTATGGTTAGCGACAGCGGCGGCGACAGGAGCTTCCGTTCGTTCGATCGATTCGATTCGGTTGGGAACGTTGGTTTTGAGTGTTGCCAGGTCCGATCTCGCCTTGGATCTCGCCATAGATCTCGCCTTGTATCTCGGCCAGGAGACCGGATTGCATGCAATCTCGGCCAATCTTGGATCTTGGTCTACTGGATCTACACTGATCTTGGCCAAGATCCAATCTCGGCCGAGATCGCATGCAATCCGTTATTGCCAAAACCAAAAAACAAAATTGCAACAGTAAATTCTAGTATTTTTTGTACGTAAAGTAAAATTTATGCCCCAAAACTGTCTTCTAGGGTTACTCACCATTTTTTCTTGATACCAAGCTTTAAAAACATGTTCACCAAGAGAAGTAACAATAAATCTTCTTTACTACCGGACTGGTTTGTCCTTTATGTCTCGAGACAATCGCGACATAAGCCCTATGTCTCGCGACGTCTCGCGACGTTTCGTGACGTCTAGAGAATTCCGATTTGTACTCAAATGTTTATAGACGTCGCGAGTTATCTCGCGACGTCTTAAATGTCTCAAGACATGTCTTTTTGTCCTTTAATTAAAAAGGATACCCACACAAATATCAGTGGCTTATGGCTCGAGACATTTGAGACAAAAGCCCAATGTTTTCGCGACGTCTAGAGAATTCCGATTTGTACTCAAATGTCTATAGACGTCTCGAGACGTCTCGCGACATCCTAATGTCTCGAGACATGTCGCGAGACATTGAGACATGTCTGTAGATTTAACAAGAGTTATAAATGGATTTAAATGATATTTACCCAAGACTGGAATTTACCGTCTTGAGATTATTTGGCAAGTAACCCAGGATGATCCGGCAATCCTAATTTGTGACGTTGGTTTCACGATTGAACAGTCCTATTGACCTCACAATTAGGCGATCGTTTCGGCGACCGTTTAGGCGACCGTTACAAATAGGCGATCGTTTAAGCGACCATTGCCGGTATTAGGAGACTATTTAGGCTACTGCTTGGATTTAAGATACTGTTGCTAGGATTTAACCCGTTTCTCGAAGAATTAGGCGATCGTTTAGGCGATCGCCTCAAAATAGGCGACCGTTTTGGATACTCACACCGGTTTTAGAAGACTATTTAGGAGACCGTCTCCCATAAGTCTCGCTTGTCAAACCTGCAACCATTCAGTCGTGATTCATAATTAACTTAGGCACTAATTTCCGGATCGTCCAGACCCAGTCTCGTCCTGCTAGACCGTGCCAGATCAAAAAACGAGCGCATGCCTCTTCACAAAACGAGCATATTCAAGGCTTCAAATGCCTGCTGATTCACGACTTCACACTCGTCTTCCCACGAACGTTAAGAACGCCAGTCGAACCCTGATAATTAAAAATCCTCACATTTCGTCTGCTGGCCCCTCAGTAGTATGCACCCACGTGTTGCTGAACAAATCTCCATTTCGCCGGACGCCACTGGACACGCGACTGAATCAGTCAAGGACACCCACGCCCGTCATCCAACAGGCAAGCGGCAGCATGATCCAGACGACCCAGACCAGCAAGCTCACCGGCACAGACGGTCTCTGAAAGCCACAGCACGACTGCAATCAGAAAGAATCCATCACGGAGGAAACGGCCAGGTATCCACATCTCGCCCCTTAGCAAACACCGCCAGAGCTCTGCAACGAACAAGCACAATAAGATGATGTCTCCTCCATCAGCCGACAACGAAGCAATACGTAATATGACGCTCAGCGACGATTCCTCCACAACGGGCGAAGAGGGCGTGGTAGAGAGCAGTGGTAGCAGCGACAGCAGCAACACAACGACCACTCCCCGATATCATTACAAAGGATGCCACACTCCACCAAAGGCCCCCAAGCAAATATTTGCTCGCTCAGCCGAGAAAATAGCACGCCGTAAAGGGCATATGCGCTGGTTGGATAAGCACCAGGGCGTGAAGTGGGACAACACCACGGATGTAATGGCTGGGTTGGATCGGTTTGTGATCAAAAAGCTCCGCAACAGCGCGTGCGAGATTATGTGGCAGTTCTTCCCAATGCGTAGCGAGGGATTCTCTTCGGCCACATACACTGGCCAAGGTGGGCTTGTTCGTGGTCCAGACGGAACCGTCAAGTTTCTGACGGCTGCCCACAACACTTGCAGCGAAAATGATTGAGAGGGGGTTTGGGAAGACCACTCGACGAAGTTCCGATGCTTCACTTTCAGAGGTCTTAGTGCTCGAATGCTTGAAATTCCAAGAGCTGGGTGGGAGCGAACTGGGGAATGGAGTGCAGCGAATACTCACGGACTCACACGAACCGACAAGGAAGGGAAGGAGTTGACATGGAAGTACGGTATCGACATTTCCCTCGGACCAGAGATTTCGGCCTCTGATGAGTCTGCGCAGCAGCTGCTGAAAATCATCAGCGTGAAGGACGTCGTGCCTGACGACTTTGTCTACACGACCGGTCTCGAAATAGGCATGGCAGTTTATACAGTGGATGGGCCGAACTAGGACGAAGAAATGATTGTGAATCGTGGCCAAAAAGGGTTGAACAAGGAAGTGCTTCCAGACATATTGGGGAAAGTGAAAGAACTGCTCATCTTTACTGGGCGCATTTTTAAACGCTTCTACGAGGATCATTTCGAGCACGACGTCAATGCTTTTGCAGGGTGCTCGGGTGGTCATTTGGTTGTTTTGCAGCATGCCCACCCCCATTTTGGTAAGATTCTCGGTGTCCACATAGGCAGCAAGGTTCAAATTGAAGACAACATTGCATTCAAAGTTGCTGGAGTCTTTGATAAGTTCTAAGAATTCACGGGCCCACATTAGTCTTCCTACCTATATATCGTACCAAGCTCCTTCGATCGTCTTTCGCGCTTCATAGTTTAAGTCCTTTCCCATGACAGCCAGGACGGAGCCCGGCACCACTCGGTTGACGCTTACTACTTGGCAGAACTGTGGCATTCCTTTGGGTTGGAATTGCAAGAGCCTGACCCCCTCATGCACAACGAGGGCCGAAAGCGTGTCGATCTCGTGTGGATAACATTTCCGCCACTGGACACCCTGGTTCCAGCAAGAGGACGTGGTGGTTCCAGCACTGGGTGGTTTTGGTGATAGAGGAGCAGTACTGTTGGATGCAGTTGCAATACACGGCTCTTAGCCTCATTCGCGACTCGATCCTAGATAGGGTTTGAGTTCGACTCATGACCGAGTCTCTCGTGAATAGTCATTTGAGACAGGGTTCCGGTTTTCTCAATGACCGCGCTAGTCATACTAGTTGATGATGAAACATCGCTCTAGATATTTAGCCAGCGTGGAGTACTTCCACGCTACTAGATCCAGGCTAGACAAACTTCCACGCGTTCCGTTTTAGGATCGTGGAGAGACGTAGGATTACTACCACAACCTACTCTATCACACTTATAGTCTCCCGCGGGAAGCCAGATCTACGATCCCTTGATGATGATCTCTCTCGTTGATTAGTTTTCATAGCTTTCTAATCTCTCTCATAACTTTCATTCTCTCAAACTCAAAACACTCGAAAGATCTTTAACACTAGCTTTTAGCGTAGTGCATTTTGTTAACAAACACAATTGCTTTCAGCTACCCTCAATCTATTCCTTCACCATGAAGATGGCTCAAGGAAAGCATGCGTTCCGCAACTTCGAAAAACAGTTGCGTGACAAACCCATTCTTCCTCTCGTCGACAATGACGACAAAAACGAGATCGACGATACTCGTCAACCACTTGCAAACTTCGCAACCATGTTGCCAAGCGCAAATCAGAAAACTCTGACAATAGGACAACTCCTCTATCAACTTAATCACTTGGATGGAGAATCTCTATCTGAGGATTAGGCCAGGATGATGACTCAACGGAACCCTGTTCGATTCTCATACCAAAGTGATGAAGATATCCACTAATAGTAAACAAGAATTGTTTGCAACTGATGAACTCTACGGAAATTAGATGATTGCTAGAAGCTGCTCAACTAGACTCTTGATCTATTTAGCATCGTTAACCTCGCTCGTGGCCAACCACCTCGTTAACGTCGCAAGACAAGAGACCTCAAACCATCGCTATGTTAGATTTAACAAGCAGAGAAAAAGGGAAACCAAAACCCGTTACACTCCGTTGCTTACTGGATACAGGAGCATCTGGAACCTTGATTGCTCAACCTCATGCTAAGAAATTACGCATGAGGATCTTGGGGGCGTCCAAACGATGTGGACTACCCCTGCAGGAGAATTAAACACCAGCACAAGTGCAAGGGTGCATTTATGATTCCTGAATTCCACGAAGATAGAATTATCGAGTGGGATTTACACGTCACCAAGAGCTTGGGGGCGTATGACATGATCATAGGTCGAGATATTCTCTCTGACTTAGGTTTCAAGTTCGATTTCACTCCATTCAGTGGAATGGGACGGCGCATCTATTCCTATGAAGATAGCGACACCAATGAAGAAGAAAACTTTTTCATTCCTGATCCTACCGCTGTTGATGACAGTGCAGATCGTTCTCAAGAAGATTCTTGATGAAAAATACGAACAAGCTGACTTAAGGCAGGTTTGCCAAAGTCAAGATCAGTTAAACACGGAAAGAGAAGGAACACTTCATTCCTTACTGACGAAGTACTCTGACCTTTTGATGGTACTTTAGGAAAGTGGCAGATGACGACTACGAAGTAGAACTTCTCCCTGATGCTAAACCCTATCATGCAGAGCTATCCTATTCCACGGGTTCATACCAACACTCTTAAAATGGAGGTGAACGTCTCTGCGAGGCAGGAGTACTCAAGAAGTGAATCCGTTCCGAGTGGGCGGCACCAACTTTCATCATTCCAAAAAGATGGATCTGTACGATTATCTCTGATTTCCGGGAACTGAACAAAGGGATTAAGCGGAAGCCTTATCCTATCCCAAAAATACAGGACATGCTCTTGAACCTAGACGGATTCAAGTCGCTACAGTCTAGACCTGAAAATGGATACTATCACATCTGAGCTGTCACCTCACTCGAAGCAACTCTGTACTATCGTACTCCGTGGGGAAAGTACGAGACCAGAGGTTGCCAATGGGCCTATGATAATAGTCCCGACATCTTCCAAGAAGATGGGAACATATGCACGACCTAGAATACTCCGTGCATACATGATGATCTACTCATCCTGACTAACGGCGATCTGGCAGATCAAGTTGGAAAAGTTGGATGAAGTTCTCCGAAGGCTTCGAGAAGCCGGACTTAAGATCATTGCTACCAAGTCCTTCTTCGCAGAGGAGAACTTGAGTACCTAGGTTACTGGATACACTCGAGAAGGGATCCAACCTATAACCAAGAAAATAGACGCGATCAAGAATATCGCTCCTCCTACACAACAGGAAGGAACTCCGTAGATTCATTGTGACTAGTGAACTACTATCGGGACATGTGGATTAGACGATCACATGTACTGGCCCCACTCGGTTCGTTGACTTCCACAAAAACGAAAGTGGGAAATGGGGAAGCGGAACACGACAAGGCCTTTAGCAGATGAAGAATATCATCAGCAAGAAACCCTGCTCGCCTACACCTGACCTTCAACGATACATTCGTTATCCACACGGATGCGGGTGATACTCAACTAGGTGCCGGAATTTCCCAGAAGGTGAAACCTATCGCGTTTCTACAGCAGGAAGCTCAACCCTGCTCAGACCAGTTACACAGTTACGGAGAAGGAACTTCTCAGTTTCGTAGAAACTCTGAAAGAGTTCCGTACATTCTTCTAGGACAGAAGATCGTAAAACCCTTTCCGTAGATAACATACGGACCAGCCTGCAGAGAATTCTTACATGTAAGATGATACCTCTCGAATAAAACGAACTCGGCCGTATCGCGTTTAATGCGGAGCAGCTTGCTCGCAGGAGCGGGCGCCGTGATGTGTTGGTGAAGGCGCCGGAGGCTGGTGCCGATGGTGGGCCTGCAGGAGGGCTCGCAGCGACTGCCACTTGATGTTCTGGAAAGAATACGGCCCAAAGTGCTGAGACTACTGGGGGCTAGTCACACCATTCAGGTGGAACTCCCGTACGGATAACATTCTCGGCTAAGGCGCGAGCTACCTGGCGCAACATCGGTCGCTATGCCGTTGTCAGAGACCGCGCAAGCACCTTAACATATCCAAAAACGACGGTTCTTAAGAAAAGATGGACGCCAGGGAGATCGCTGCCTTCTGTAAGCTGCAGTCATTGCTGCTACGCATCGAAGGAAGTGATGGTTCCACTAGCGACCTAGCGAAAGGAATTGTCTCCCTCATCTCGTGAGTTCCAGTATCCGCTAGCGGGCCCCTGCTGGAGATGTTCGAAACATGCGCGCGTCAGAAAGACGAAGTGCATCTGGAGGACTATCAGAAGTAAGCGTCCTCCGGGACAAGCCGCGTAAGCTGGTTGCTGGTGCCTTGTACGATTGTTCGTGCACCTAATGTTTGAGAGGCAAGCCTACTCTGTAGTCCCAGCTGGAGCTGGATACAATGTCCTAGTTACGCGCCCATTCTGACGGAAGTAGTTAATTTTCGTGAGCTTGGTTCCCACCCTGCTGCTAAGGGCACTCCCATGGCCGGATATCGGCACACACCTACCAACTCCATAGCTTGG